TGAAAGAAAAGAAGTTGTCCGGGCTTTTTTGTTAGGAGACTGCTTAAGAATTTTAAAATCCGTATTTTTAGTAATTTTCTGTAGTGTGTTTTGCATTTGATACTTTAAAGCTTTCCTTTTATCTGCTGCTACACCTGTATTCTAGAGCTGTCATACTCAGTTGTTATGAAGCAAAATTATTAGAGCATCAGCATAATGGGATAAATGCATATTTAGGATATTCCAAATTGAAAAAAACTTGTTACTTTAGGACTTTAGGGGTTGTATTGCAGTGCTGTTAAACAGTGCTTCCTGTACTTGGAATGATTAGAGTCTTAGAGTACTGGTGTTCATAACTTCAAAGATTGTTTGATACCTTTACAGGACTTTTCTTTAAGGGGGGGGTGGGGCTGGAGCTACTTTCCAGGCTGCTTTTTTTGCCTTTTGTCTCCCCCCTCTTCTTTTCCCACCCCTTACCCTTTTAGCAGATACTAGTCTAAAGGATGCTACTGTCAGTGAAGAGGCTGTGTGGTAGTAATATTAGTGTTAATGCTAAGTGTTCCTAAAATTATGTTGGACATGATTCTCATACCATGTGTGTTACCATAAAATCTGAGTGCCTACTAGGAGCACATTGGGAAATTCAATTTACATTTGGGCTATTGTTGAACTGTCTTCTTTTCAACAGATAGGTCTCTGTGTTGAAGTATTTTGCTTTGGTATTAAAAGCTATATGCATATAAGTCTGTTAAAGAAACCAGACCAAGCCAGTATGCCTTTCATTTAAGTGAAAGGTGGTTTGTGCTGGTCTTTAATTCAGGAGAAGGGGGCCCCAATCTAATCTGGGTGGTTGTTCTAAGAAGAATCTGGCTTCTGCATAATGAACTTTATCTTCATTGTAGAAAGCTGACAATGTGTGAAACTGTTGATCTTTCTTCATCTTGAAGCTGTAATTGATTGCCAGATAACAAGAGTCTATTCAGGGTAATAAGAGAGTTGAAGATAAAGATTGAGTCTTGGAGCTTGATTCCATATTTAGTGGAAAAGAAAAACATGTCTGATCTGTCAGGCCTTTGTGTTTGGGTCTGCAACGCTGCTCTGTAGTTTAGCAGTGTTTGAGATAGCGATCATTGTATTTGTATATCCCAAAAAATCCAGTTTTAGGAGGTGAAGACTTGCAGGTGCAACTCTCTGCCTAACTTTTTCTCTGAAAATGTCAATTTTACTGAGGTATGAACAAGTATTTAGTTAAATAACTGGATCTTTCACAAGTATTTTTGTATTTGGAGGTGTGGGCCTTTGGGTGCAGGTGTATTTGGACTTCACCTGTTCTGAAAAATTCAAACTACCATGGAGACTCCCCTGATTCCTTACATCTCTGTTTTGCTACGGTAGAATATGGTATAATTGATTTTACAGAATGGCATGAAAAAGCCCATAAACTGCTTCTCTGAATTTATAACTTTGAATTTTGACATAACCCATTGCTTAACAAATTCTCAGAGGATTTTGGAGTTCTTTTCAAAAGCATTATTGCAAAAAGTGTCTTTTTCAGAACAAGAAATCAGTATTTTGTATTAGTTTTTAGAGGAGAGGCTGTATGTGGTTCTGAAAGATAAATTAATGTGGAAGATACCACCACTCCCCAAAAAAATACAAGAGCTAGGTAGCGTTGGTAACTTTTTAAAAAAATTACTAGAAGCAGCAGTCCAAAATCTGTAGTGATTACAAGAAATAAAGTAGATTTTTAGGGCTCTTCTGTGAGTTTCTGGTAATCCTTCAGGTGTTCTCTTTGGAAGATAGAAGTTTGGATGGCAGTGGGCTGTTGCAATGCCAATTTTTCATTTGATGTTACTGTAAATATGCTGTAAGCACTAGTGTAACATGATCATGTGTCCTTTGGGTTAGTGAGCTGGCTTTCAGGGGTAGGAATGAGGTTAGTTCAAGTAAGAAGTCTGGGCATATTTTCAAAACTCTTAAGTTATGTTGATCCTGTGAGCAGCAAGGTGGTCTGTGAGCAGGAGAATTTATAAAGTCTGGTGTTTAAAAAAAAATAATTTTTGTGCCTAACATGAAGTGCCTTAAAGGTTTCACAACCTTTAAAAGTAGGTAACTTGTTCTGAGAACTGAAGGATTGTACAGAACTGCGTGTTCTGGAAAAAACAGCTGTGTGTCTGGGAGTGAATGGTGTATTTTAAATTACTTCGTGAATGAGGAAGGCAGTTTAATAGCTCTTCCTAGGATTTGCTCTGTGTTGAAAGAAAGTTTGAATCCAGCTTTTCTGTCTTGTCCTTCGGATCACAAGGATGGCAGACAGTGTATGTGTTGATTGTGTGTTGCTTTTTAGTTCTGGATATTTAACAACAATAACAAAACCAAACTAAAAACCCCAAACACAATAACAAAAAAACACTCCAGCAGAAATAATGAAGAGAATACAGTGTATTCATTAGCATGTCTAGGCTCTAAAACCTGAGCAGAAAAAAAAATGAGGGGCTGGATTTCATCTGTACTGTGGACTGCTCCTGTACCTGCTAAATTGCCATTGTGACTGTTAAGGTAACCCAGGGATGCTGATCTATTTAGTGCATTAGTGTCTAGATACTGTGCTGCAGTAGCAATTTTACCCTGCAGCTCTTTGAATGAGCCTTAGCTATCCCCAGTGATCATTGCTTGCCCATATTTCATAAAATAAACAATACAGGATATGGTCGTATCTGTTTCTGTAATATACATGTGGTTTGTAATTGCTAGAATTATGTCAGTGATTTTAAATAAGCTCTGAACTTTGTGAGCAGTGACTGTCAAGTAGGTGAATAAATTAAAATATTGCTAGTTCTGCTTTATTAAAAGGGCTACTTTGGTAAACTAAAATTGGTTATTTCAGAGTGGCATACACTTTCACTGTTAGGAAGCAAAACAATCATTTAAACTCGCCTGATGAATCTGACGTGATTAGTTTCTTGGGTTCTTCCAGAGCAATACTTTCCCACTAAGGTATAGATTGCATCTATGCTAGCAAAGGTATGCTGTACACATCTGTTCTTTTTGGTTTGTGGTGTTTTTTTTGTTGTTGTTGTTGTTTGGTTTTTTTTTTTAAAGCCTTATTGAACAATGTGTAAATCTAAATTTTTTTTTGTGCGTAGAAGTGTACAATTTCTTTCTGAAACTCTTGGAAGCAGTACATGATCGTATTTTAGGAAGCAAGAGTTTAAAGAGGATTTCTGATTGTTCTGCACTGTGCATACATGTGGTAAAAGAGTCTTTACCCTGGAGAGCTTACAATCCAAAATACGTAGAAATTGAAGGAATTTTTACTAGGGAAGTACAACTGCTGATAATAAGCCAGCTGCAGTTTCAGACTGGGTAATTCCCCTGTGTTGCTGGAAAAGAGACCTCCAGCTCCGTATGTGGTTGTGTTTGGGTAAACTCACCCCTCCAGAAACAAAATGTGGTATCCTCACCCGCTTCTTGCAACTTGATTTTTTCAGAAGAAGGCTCTGCCAACACCACATTTCCCAAATGTCTTCTTCACAACCATTTTTCTTATGGTGTTGGGTTTTTTTCCGTCAGAGGAGGTCTGGGTATCGGGCTCTGTGGTAGAGGAGCACTGACACCACACTTGCCATCATTTGCCTTCCCACAGGAACAAGGGCAGCTTGAATTAGCCAAATAGCAGAAACAGTGCTTTCTTTACCAGGAGGGTTAGCTGCATGGCCAACAGTGGCCAAACTGTGCGGTACGAAAATTTCTGTCTAGTTCTTGAATGTTAAAGGCTCGTGAGATACCCAAGAGCCATATAATAGTGTGTCTCGTGTCTTACTAATGGTGAGGAAAGCTACACTGATGCCTTGGTTGTCAGGATGCTTAGCTGGTGTGTAGAAGTTAATAGGAGTGCCTAAACTTTGCAAACTAGTTTTCATGAACAGGGAATTGCAAAAGCGTTTTTTCATTTCACCATTTGAATATGCGTAGTTTATTACTTGCAGTCCCTTCTGGACTGCTCTGTTGTCTTGTGGGATTGAAAAGCACAAACGTGGTAAGTTGTGTCTTAGTTTAAAAAAATGAGGCTATATCATTTTATATGATACTTGAGGGATATGCTGTTAAAATAGTGCATAAAGACTTTGGCATTAAATATCTTACTATTTAAAATAAAGCAACTGAAATGTTTCCAACTGAAGATAAACTGAATGCTCAAGTAGTGAAAAAGATAAAAACAAAGAACCCAGTTTGTGTAAATACGGAAGGCTGGTTGTCTAGATCATCTTTCAAACTCATTAAACAGCCGTAAGTGATTTAAATACAAATTAGAAAGCTGCACATCATGTTGCAGCCCACTCATGTAGGCTGAGCTCATCAGAAACTCCTTTTGTTCCTCCATTTCCTTCCACCTTACTTTCCCTGCCTATGCCAGCAGCAGTGCTTTACCCTGTTTAGCAGGGCTCTGTTGGAGGCACCACCGGTGCAAGGGTCTCTCTTACTCTGGGCTCCTTTCCTACTGCTGATCCTGCTCCTTGCTTCTCTGCCCTTCCCTTGCACATCTTGGGGACTATGATCTACCTTCTGATTTTCCTTTTTTTCCTATGATTCTTACTTCTCTGTCTCGGACATTGATACGTTCGTAGCCTAAACAAGTAAGATGGAAACCAAGCGGATTGCAGAATAGGGAGGTTTTATGCTGGAAAGTATTTTGCTTCTGTCAGCTAGTTTCTATAAATCTATAAATAATTGCCTGGTTGGCGTATTGCATGCTGCAGACTCCGTGTCTCTTACACGCCTCTAGCAAGTTCTAGTTTTCACAAAAATTGACAAGGCTATTCAGATACAGAGAGCTTTCCCCAAAATTTCTGGAATTTGTTGAGTGCATTTGTTATTAGGTAACAGATTATGAATCATTGTCAAATTGAGGGTATAAATCCTTTCTTTGCATAGGCCAGTGGTATGTTTGGCTTGTTTGTAAAATACTACGCTGCACATATTAGGGAGTATAATTAATGAATTTATCTTTTTTAGGAGCGATGGATGAGCTTCATAGCCTGGACCCAAGAAGACAAGAATTGTTAGAGGCAAGATTTACAGGAGTAGTAAGTGGAAGCACTGGGAGTACTGGAAGTTGCAGTGTTGGAGCTAAAGTAAGTTCTAAGAGCAGTCATCCAGATCTACCACCTTTGAAATACTAATTTATCTCACTCTGTCTCACTTGTATACTGCCCATGTGATTTGCTTGCAAATGTACTGGGTTGGAAGCGGCTCTCTGGAAAATCGTTGTTAGTCTGTTATTTTGCGTTGAGATAGGATTGTTCATCCTGAACCTGTCTGTGACATGGACGTTGAATTGTTCTTGAAAACACAAAAGAATGGGCTTATAAAGACTCTTGTGGTTTTACACATGTGATCAGAGATGGAAGTATTTCCCAGCATTTAAGTGGATTTGTCCCTTCTGCAGATGGCCAACTACTTACAGTTTGTCTTGAAATAGACACAGGGAGTCTGGTGTGACCTCTGTTTTTAAGATTAAACTTGTTTCATGATTACTATATCTAGATTAAAAAAGCCAAATTTTTTCAATTTTTCACTTATCAATTTTACCTGCTTCCATTGTAGACTTTCTGCACTCTGTTATTATCTAAACCAGGATGCAACACTTGAGGGGAAAAAATATGTGAACATTGAACGGCAGGGCTTAATTTCCTTCCATATGTCATATATTATCCTTAAGTTGATAAATCTGCAAATACATTTGCTTTCTTACAAATTCTGTTCAGGCTAGTAGCTTCAGCTTCCAAGACTGATCTCTGCGATACTGTTGCCTAGCCAGAGGTACTCCATTTTTGTATTTGTGCATTCAAATGTTTGTCACCAAGCGTAGCACTTAATAAACTGATGTTAAACGGATATAATGCTAATTTTTGGGCACATTTCCTCCATGACCAAAATACTTGTGAATTCTGTTTCCAAAGTGTTTGCAGTGCCCTCATATTTCAAGTATTTTCCACAAACTTGGTTAATACTTTTCGCTTCCTAATCCACATTTTAATTACCAGTCTAGATTACAGAACAAAATACTGTCTGATAGCAGGTGATGAAATTTCTGGAGACGTGTGACGCATTGGTGACTGCTAACAAACTATAGAGAATTGAAATTAGTGCTTTGTGATATTGCATCGTATCTTCTTTATTGTTTTTGTGAGTGATAGGAAGGTAACTGTCACAAAGCTGTAAAAAAGGTGACGTATCACTTCTGTTGCAACCATCTTAACCAAGAAGTGAGTTAATTGGTCAGGGGAAGGAATCACTTTGGATTGACACAGTGTGGTTGTTGCACTGTTGTTTTCTTATTTCATCGTCTTCTAATTAGGACTGCAAAAATGTATACGAAAATATATATCTTATGTTTAAAATTAGATAGAGACAACCCCAGTAATTCTGGCCCATCTTTGGTTTTGCCTTGGCTTCTCTAGTACTACTTACTCCCCTAATTTATTAGCTACTTATAATTGCTCAGGTAATTGCTTATAATTCAAATGAGTATTTTTTCTTTTTCATGCCTAGATCTGTACCTTCTTTTAACCTCATTTAACTTCTAGTGTATTTATAAACTCTTCTATTAGTTTTTGATACAGCTGTGTTGGTCCCTTGCCTCATTGGAAATTTTTCCTCCTCAGAGCTACGTGTGTAGCTACTTTTTTCTTGTTTCTAAGTAATTATCAAGTTTCTTAGGGTTCCTTTTCTTTAAATTTTGATCCCCTCTGAGTTGCTGCTTATCATTTCTATAAATCTGTTGTAGTGCTTTTTTGTTGTCTGTTCAGTTGATGTCGCTTTTACCCAAATTACATTCCACTTCAAGGTTCTAAGCTTGTTCATCCAAATTAGCTAGGAAAACAAAACAAAGCATAAACCCAAACAAAAACAGCTGATTTCCTTTTTCACTCTTATGTAAAACATATATTTCTTGTCCCTGATTCATTCCAAGATCTGTTTGAACACATAATTGTATCTCATGCAGTTGGTTTCCAAATGGCTAGCTGGATAAAGTGATTTTTTTGATAAATACTCCCAACTGCTTTGATAATTGTTTGCAGGATGTGTTACTACTGCTGTCTTCTGATTTATGCAAATCTCATCTAAGACACTGTTGTTCTTACCTTTGACCAGGAATATTCAATAAATTACCTTCAGTATTCAGTGCAATATCTCCTCCTTTTCCTGGTTACTTTTTGTTTGGGTTTGAGAGGTAGGGAGGTAGAGGGGCATACCGATGTCTAGTCCTGTGATTTATCCCACCATCAGTAAGATGGCAGTTATATCTGTTTTATTTATATTTATTTCAGACCGTTCAGTGTATCCAAGCAGACAACATGAAGTGTCATGGCTTTTTTTTTTTTTAATGTAATCTTTCGTCTTTTTGGGGGTTGTTGAGAGAGACTTACCTGATTTTTTTAATAAAAATAATGTTAAAACCATTTTGATCTGATGTACAGAGGAAACTGGGAAAATGTGATGTATGAAGGCAAAAATGAGAAAACTTCCTCTTCTTATACATACCCAAATCAACATGTACCAGATTCTCATTTTCCTAACCTAGCAACACAATACAGAGGTTGCAGCCACACTTACTGGTTATTTTTTGAAACATTCTAGGTCATTATTCTTCTAATAATTAAACTGAGATGGACTCTTATTTATTGGGACTGCTATTTTGAAAGCCTACCCTTACCTACTGAAGAGTTTTGGAATTGTTGGGGGGTGTGTGGTGTGAGGAAAGCCCATAATCTTCAAGCTTTTTCAGCAAGCAGGGGTGGAAATATGGAAATTTGGAAATAGGTTACTGAGATTATTGTCTTAGCTGACTCCATTAACCAGAAACTGAGACCTCACAAGGAAGAATTACATTAAGGCATTGTCATACTAGAGACCGCCTGGGGGGACCCACATAGAAATTTTGTGGGTTTAGTTCACATTTCTCCAGAAAGTTTAATTCAGAGATGATCTTGATACTCAGATGTCACAGATTAGTGTTGTCCTGCAAACTGAGGCAGTGCTGGAATTTAATGCTTTGAAGCAAACAGTGTTTGCTTGGAACTAGTTGTTGTTTCACTTCAGAGTATTTGTTCTTCCTTCCTATAGGGAAGAGAATAATCCAGCAGTATAAGATTTTTTCTTTTAATAAAAAGAAGCTCAACTGATGTTGGAATTTTCTCTTATGTGAATGTGGAACAGGTTTTTTCAATAAAATGTCCTTGTTGCCATTCTGTGTTCAAAAGATAGCTGAATAAATCAGCCTTAGAAAAATTCTAAATAAATGTTGTAACTTGAGACTATTTCACAATTTTTATCTTTTTTTTTTTTCTTATTAGTCTAAACTTTTTACTTTGGGGAAAATGGTTTGTTTTAAGAATGTAGAATAATACTGTCAGTAGGTTGTAATTTTCTGTCACTGAATAGATTTTAGGAAAATCTCTGCAATAGCCTAATATTTGTCGTGGAGAAAATTAAACCCTCTTTTTCTTTGAAGAATGAAATTTTTTTGTAGTCTCTAGCACTTACAGCAGTATTGGCTTCTTAGCCCATTCTATGGAATCGTTTGGTAGGGGTTTTCATTAGGTGTTTTGCATTTCCCAAATAAGACTGAGATATTTTTGAATGTTCTAGAGTTTTACTTGGCTTAAAAACAATCAAAATACAGAATTTACTGTGCCCTGTCAAGACATCCACCTATTAAACTTCTTATCCCTCTTGCAAGTCACAACTGCTCTATAGTTAATTTTTCCTTGCCATCATGGAATTTTATTACTGTTACTTGTTATAACTGTGGGTGATAAGTGGATTAGCTGGTTTATAAATCTGTATACAATGTTTAGTGTTTTATTTGTCTTGGTAGGCCTCAACAAATAACGAAAGTTCAAATCACAGTTTCGGAAGCTTGGGATCTTTAAGTGATAAAGAATCAGAGGTAAGTGTATGGGCCAGATTCATTATTAATTCAATATTTTAATGCTAACAAGTCCTAATTTTATATTCCACCGATGCTTGATTTTCTATAGAAGCTTTTAAAGTAAAATGCAAAATAACCCATCTAGATAGGAAAAAGCATACACTACTAAAAGATAGCATCTTTTGGAAAACGAGATGACATCATAAAAGTTTCTTTAGATTTTTGGTAATGAAACTAGCTGTTTCTGGTTCTTTATTATCTGTGTAGTCATGGTGTAAGGATTCATACAGCTTTTGGAGCTGAAAATGTTTGAACAGTTTGCTGTCTTTTGTTTAAAAAGTAATAATGTTTTCATCAGCACAGATATACTTTGACTAGTCTTTGGCTGCATCAGTTTTCTATGTTTCCTTTAAAAATATGGATTTACTCAAAGGTCAGACAGTAGGTGTCATCTGCAGATGTCACTGTATTTCTTAGGTAGTATCAATTCTTAATTCTCAGAAGGACTCATATTCTTACTAAGTTTCAATGTAAAGCACGCAGACTTCCCTGTAGTAGCTGATTTTCCAATTAGTGACCATCACTGACTTAGTTGCACATATGCAGCTCTTACAGTTTACCTATTTTGGGGTCGATGAGTCCCTCTGACAGTTTTGCCTGTGCACATCATAGAGTTCAGTGGTAAGATTATACCCATTGTAAGCAAGAGCGTATTTCTAGCCCAGACTAGAACTGTCTTGGTGTATGGTCCATGCCAGAGGGAGAGTTGTTTGGAATGTGCGTTCAACGTTATTTTCACATGTTAAAGCTTTATTTTGGTGCCTAATTGTTCATTCACCTGGTCACTACGAGACAGTGTCTGATGTTTGCTTTATAGTGGGCTGACCAGCAAGTGAGTTTAGTTGGTTCCCAAGATTGTTACCTTATAAATTAATTATTATATAAAAAAAAATTTTAAAACTTGGATTCTGAAATAGAAATTGTTTTTTTCTGAAGTCCCAGCACAGTTTCTTCTGTGTTTTCTGAAAGGTGATTCTTAATGACATTGAATAAGGAAATACAGTCTCTTGACCCATTTTCAGAAGTTGTCAGTTGTATTCACTAAAAATATAGTGAATACTATATAGTAGTACCAAATATGCTAATAAGTTTTTCGTTTTGTTCTTAAACTAACATCTGGTTACTTATATGCTGTAATCCTATGAAAAGTACACTTTTAGAGAATTTCTTTTGTGGATGGTAGTGCAGAAATACAAATACTTACTCATATGGGAAGCAGTGCCATCATTTGATATTGACAGAAAACTGTTGTATTTCAGTAGATTTTGTGAGGAAAAAAAAAGTAGACATAACTTCAGAATCATTGAAATTTTTTTTATGTCAGTTTCCAATTAAATTGTGATGGTACATTGATGTCATGATTCTGTGCTTTCATCACTAAGTGACACTTTAACAAAAACATATCTTTCGCAGTTTTCAAAACAAGGCAGGTTTCACGCGCACACCCCCCACACCCACACCCCCCCTTTTTGTTTTTCTGGTGTGAAATTTTCATTTTTTACTTTGTGAAAATGGGATTGCAGACTTTACAGATATTAGAGCTGTAGTCTTTTTCTTCCTGTCTGATGGATGTATGAATAGGGGCAACTTACCTGAATAATAGTTTTAATTGAGATACTTCACATAGGTTTCCAGGCTTTAATCTGGATTCAGCTCAGCATCGTGTGCAATAAACATTAGCTGGGTGTTCAATCTTAATATCGAACCTGTATTACAGTTTATTTTAAATATGTATGTTATTTTTATTTTATCAAATGCTTTGTTGCTGTGGTACATAAGTCTTAATTTGAGTATGTATTAGCTACTTGTAGCCAGTTTAGGATTTACCTAACTCAGATTGTGAAAGAGTGCTTCTGGTAGTCTTCCAGTATTTTGGCCTTCCCCACCATTCCTTATTAAAGTAGATTACTCCTCCTTGTTTCGGTTAGAAATGCATTCTTTTATTTATAGCTAGTGTTTTCTATTCTCTGTAGATAATGAATTATTTAAAGAAGGACAGCTTTGTGTGGGGCTTGATTTGTCCAGTTTGATTAGTTGTTTAAATGTTTTGGTCTGCTTGCTTGTAGCTGTTTAGTTGCTGCGGTTCCCAGTGCTACAGAACCCTCATTATAAGCGTAACTTCAGAAGTAACTAAAGGTTTGATCTAATTGGAATTTATAATGTGTTGCAGAGGAAAACAGCACTGCTCTATTTGTTTGCTGTAGTTGTAAAGCTTTGGGGAGAGGGTAGGATTTAGAATAAAGTAATTGTGGAAACTCATTCAGTATGCATATGAAAAACATTAACAAAAAAAATCATTACTATTAAGCGTAGTGGAGATTTAAGTGTTGAGAAACAGAAAATAAAAACTTTTATTTTATTACACGATTTTAATTTTTTTTTCTCTGCAAAAATAACTTATGGAGTTAGGCTTTTACCATTTCCAAAATAATCGTAGAAACTATTTACCTGTACATAAAATATATACAAATACTTATCTGAGGGTTGGTGGTGGTTTTTTTCGGGAGATAAACTGATTAAGAATAGTACCTAGAAGTGTTCATTTTGTAAAAGAGGATGTGAAAAGCCAAGATTTAAAACTATAAATGTGAAGAGAAGACTCGGGAAGCACATCAAAATTGAGGGGTAAACTGGGATCAAGACTGTAATGTAGGAGGCTCTGCTAATATGCTATGTTGTGGATAACTTTAAATAGCTTTACAATCTAACTTTGGATGACTTCAAATCTATTTTGTGTTGCTTATGAAATAGCGGGATTTTAATCTAAGTCTTGTCTGTATGTATGAAGTGACTGAAAGCAGCTTCAATCTTCATTTATCAGGAGGATACTTCTCAGCCCCATTAGTCATCAGTTTCTTGTGATTCGTATGGTTCCATTCATTAGAAAGAATTTTGGAGATAATTTTCTAGTGATTGATGTACACTGTACATTGCCATGTGAATATTATACTTGGAAAAGGTGAACGTGACCTTGTTGAGTAACCTCATTAATAACCTCATTAGTGTGCTAATACTTCTCACTTTGGAAAGTTAAATGTAACACTGAAAGAAATGAGAGGAGCTTAAGGAAATAGACATTCATGAATTATTTGAGTTTCAGTTTGAAAACTATAAACCTCTTTAAATGTCTGTTTTTTAAATACAAGACATAGGTCACTGCAGTTGGAAACTGATTTTGGTGGTGGGAATCTTAAATGTTGAGTCATTAATTAGCTTTCAAACTTCTTTTTTCCTTGATATGGTAGGTAAAACTGACTACATGAGACTGGTAACTGCAAAATTGAACGATGGAAAATAAGAACAGCATGAAAATGCTTGGTTAAATAATTTCATTTTTGTTTTGTGGAAAGATAATGTTGTCTATTTACCTGGCAGTAATTGCAAATTAGTAAAGTAATATTTCGAAGCTACAATTTCTGCTTTTAGAATCATACAGTCTTAAGATAACTTCATTTCCGGGAGTCTGCGTTATACGCTTTGCTCATGTACAATAGCACTGTAAAAGGATTTTAAAATACCCTGTATTTTAGTAAATTTGTATTTTAAGATATCCATGTGAAGGTATCCACGTGTGGGACTGAAACATTTGAAATGCTTTTAGTGATGGGTTGAAATTTGAATTTTGATGTCATTTGCTGTATTGAGAAAGAATGCTTTGAGCACAAAGTGATAAATGCAGTAAAATGATAAAACGATGGTATAAAAAAAATTAAGCATCTTAGCACTGATGTCAGATTTAGTCAGAGATATTGGGGTACATTGATTTTTTTTTTCCTTCTTTTTTTGATTGTAAAATAGAGTTCATGTAATGGCTTCTGTGCTTTCTCCACTTAGTGTTATGAGGCTGCTTGAAGTCTGGATGCACACACAGCTGCAGTATCTTTTCCTTGAACCAAAGCAGCCTGTAGAATTTAACTTACACTGGGGAGACTAACTGGTTTGAATCTTCAGATCAAGGGAGAGCAAATATAATTTAGAGATGCTTCTGATCAGAACCCTTTCTTGTTCTGTGTTGTGCATGCTGATTGTAGTTTCTAGGCAACTATGTATAATATTTCTGGAATAAATTTTTAACATATCTGTATTTTTTCCACCTATCATTGGTGTTTTTCTTTGACTTTATTGAGATACAGATACAAGGGGGGAGGGGATGACAACATTTTCCAAATGAATAGATACTCAAATTCTGAGCAATTGCTCTCTTTTTTTTTTTTTTTTAATCCTGAAGATTCTAAAAATTTACAGTATATATTAATTTGGTATGACTTCTGCTCTTCCAAAAAATGTGTAACATTACTGGCTTCCTATTGAAGCCCCCAAACCTGTATTTATATTGTGACGATGTGTAGAAAACACCATCAGGAATCAGCTTATTTCATTAAGTAGCCATAAGTGAACCCAAATTGGGTGTTCATAAAGGCCAGAATGGATGAAAAAGTATAATTGCATAACAAGTAATGTGTAGAATTGTCTTTTGGGAAGTTTTTTGAGAATTATTTCTCACTTTCTTAAATATCTTTTCTAGCTTGTATTTATCTGATTGACCAAAGATCATATTATCTACTTTAACTAAGATATGAAATTACATCCCTGCTGAATTGTGAAATTATGTTTTATGAATGAGGATTTAAATCTGTTTCACAATAATAAAATAAAAAGAGCTGCTGTTGGATTGCGGGGTTTTTTTGTTGTTCTTTATAGACTCCAGAGAAAAAACAGTCTGAACCTTCAAGAGGAAGAAAAAGAAAAGCAGACACTCAGAGTGAAAGCAGCCAAGGTAAGTTAAAATGTAAATGAATTAGATAGTTATTGCATGTATTTAATCAAATTACAGTGCACAAAGTTTTGACTGTTTTGCCTTAAAAATTCTGCATTTTTGCTTACCTAAGACAAATGTTGGGTTTTGATAAATTATGTATCATCCATTTGTCACTGGAAGAGGTGGGCAAGTAAAACCTGAACCGGGCTGGTAATTACCTATAAGAATTGTGTGCTGCTGCATGGATACAACTCTTACTTTTTAAGAATTGTAGCAGCTCTTCTCATCCAAAATATCTTTGTTGTTTATATTTCTTTTCAGTAGGTAAGGGGGAAAAGAGATTACAGAGTATAGCAACTGATTGCTTGTTTGTCAGGTATATTTTAAAATGTAGTTTTATTGTTCTATAGATTATTGTACAGTGTAGTTGGCTAGAGGAATGGGGAGATCGGGATGAGACCAGTGTACAATTTAATATTTACAAAGCATGTGTTTTGTTGTTCCTCTCTTTCTTGTGACTTCTGGAGTATATAGTATAAAAATTCATCGGGGGCGGGGAGGAAATAGTTATGATAACATCTGTATTAGCTTTTTTTATGGTTTCTAACTGAGCTAGGAAATGTCACTTCAGATACATACCGATGGGCTCCATATCTGGAATTCTTCATGATGCAACATGCTATTAGTACAATTATGTTGTTTGACTAAAATTAATTCTTTGCAATGTTGCGTCACACAGACCTGCTTTGTTCAAAGACCGTGAATGAAATTTCCTATTTCCATTGTTGTAGTAGCCTATCCTTCCTGCTGCCAATGGGAGTTGAAATTAGAGATGATACAAAGTTTAGGAACTTTTTGCCATAGACAACATGATGATTAATGTCTTATAAATACTGTTTTCGCAGCACTGAAACCGAATAGTCTACACTGAAATATTCTCAAGGAACTAGCCTAAGAAACTGCAGCTTATTGGAGTGGTACAGTGCAGTTGAATCAGAGAAAATACTGCTCTTGTAATGAAAAAAGGATCAAGAGATCCATCTCTTTTATATTGCATACCTAGGATTTTTACTTTGTAATACGCAAAATAATCCATAAATGTGGAAGAAAAGTGTTGTTTAGAACATGGAAGTAATTGTAGAGTGGGATAAAATCAGTGTAAATCTATTCGTAATTGGCTGTGCTAAAATAGTTTGATGTATTTCTTCAGTGCAGATTTCTGTATCATGACATATAATAGATTTTTCTATACTCAGAAGGAATGCAGTCTGTCTCATTTGTCTGGATGAAAGCAAATTTTAATTTGATAAAGCGATAGATGACAATTAAGCATGAAGACAGAAAACACTAGCATAATTAAAGGGTAGGTAAGTACTGGGTAGAGGGCAGTAGCAGTGATGGGTACCCAAACTGGTAACAACTGGAGGAGTTAGCTGTGTGCAGTTCTAGGTCTTTGAATTATTATATCTTTATATGTCTGTGTTAAAAGTCTTGAGACAAAAAAGGCTGCAAATGTTTCTCTATTTTTAGTGACACAGAGTTATGCAGCAGTGCCAGTATAGAGGCATATTAGACTACAAAGTATTCTTCAGGGCTGAAGCAATAGAAAAGATTGGAAATCTTTGCTAAAAAGTCTAAAATCACATTTTTGGACCTATGGGTAATGATCTCCTAATTTATTGCAAAAATTTACTTACATAAAGAAAAAAGCTTTGGATAATGGTCCATTTTCAGGATGTCTCCTAGCATGTAGTCTGACCTATACAAGAGACAAATACAGTCTTCAGATTTATCAGTCACCTTAGGGCGAAGTCGAAGAAAGCATTGAGGCCATTGGGTAAGCTGTTGGTGCGGCCTCTGGAATGCCACATAGGGATCAGGTCCTCACATTGAAGAAGGATTAATTCACATTGGTGCTTCTCAAGTCTCAATACTGATTAAGATAAAAGGAATTCTACTCTCTCGATCTGCTCTATTTATCTCCTTGGTTAACCCTGTGAGTTAGCTGGTTCAGAATCAGGTTGGGAGGAATGGAAATACTTGTCACCCTCCATGCCTACACTGTTGTTGGCACTTGGGGAATCCTTGGGCTGAACATTTGCACACATTAACTTACCTGGAGCATATCATGTTAAAAGACTTGGTTAATTTGATATTTTGGAAGTGAATGAACTTGGAGATAGTGCTTAAAAAGACGAAGGACTTAGAGATAAAGGTTTGGACTGTCGGATGTGAGGTGAGTTTCCTGTTATCCAGAAGAGGTCTAGGCTTACTACTAAACGTACACTGATCTCGTTTAGGAATTGAAGCATGACTTAATTTCTGATTTCTCAATGAATGGAATATGCAAATCTCTTTGTTGTGGCCAATCCCTTAGTTATCTGCATAGGGAGATCACATATTAGCACATCAAAGAAAACCAATTAACAAGTGGTAAGACTTTGCTATAATTACTATATAGGTAGAAATGTAAGACACATCTCTAAGTAATTTATTTAATCAATTCTAATAATATATTTGTTTCAGGAAAGAATATTGGGGGACGTGGTCACAAGATAAGTGACTATTTTGAGGTAAGATTTTTTTGTGTGTAAAAATTACTTTAGCGTTAAAATTTACTTTTAACTTTTTTGGATATTGCAAAATTTTTGCTGGTGATTGGTGTTGTGGTTACCTGGCAGCTAGGCACCACACAGTCACTCACTCCCCCTGCCCATGCGATGGGGAAGAGAAAGTACAATGAAAGGCCTCTTGTGGGTCGAGACAAGGACAGGGAGGGATCACTCACCAGTTACGGTCACGGGCAAAACAGACTCAACTTGAGGAAAAAGTCAGTTTAATTTGTTACCTATCAGATCGGAGTAGGACAAGGAGAGACAAAACCAGATCTTAAAAACACCTTCCCTCCTCCCCTCCCTTCTTCCCAGGCTCGGCTTTGCTCCCGATTTCTCTGCCTCCTCCCGCTGAGCAGAGCAGGGGATGGGGAATGGGGATTGTGGTCAGTCCATCACACGTCAGCTCCGCTGCTCCTTTCCCTTCAATGGGGGAGGACTCCTCACACTCTGCCCCTGCTCCAGCATGGGGCGGGAGGCAGTTCTGTGTGAGCTTCTCCAACATGAGTCATTCCCTTCCTCTTGGTGCAGCCTGAGCTAAAATACAAAAACCATTTTCTTTCACACTTTAAATGGCCAAAGTCTACTACTAGTAATACAGTCTGATGTGCAAAATCTGTGTACTGATGAGCTGTATCATTCAGTGGATGTGTAATGTGTTTTGATAAGAAGATTGACTAATTGAAGGACCGTATCTTCTTCACAGTACCAAGGTGGGAACGGCTCTAGTCCAGTGCGAGGTGTACCTCCTGCAATCCGATCTCCTCAGAATTCACATTCCGCTCCTTCTTCTGTAAGTGTGTGACCTTCGGGACTGTGGGACGTAACTTTCATAGTTTAAAAGTAGCATAATTGAAAAGAATCTATTCTAGGGAAGAGTTTTCAAAGGGAGTCCTGGGAAGGAGTTCATTCTTTCAACAACAACAACAAAAAAATTATGAGGTAAAATATTAAAACTAAAATTTTCTCTGGGACTTTTTTCTAAAACGTCATTTTTAAATACAGAGTAATTATGTAAAATGTTGAACATTAAAATGTTCTAATGACATCTATTCACAAGCCTCACACAAAAAAGGGGAGAATTTTTGTTACTTATGAGGAAACTGACACATGCACACACACATACACACCCAACTTGGGACTTGAAAAGCTCAGGTTTTGATAAACCATAATTTTAAAAATAATTAATATCTAATTTGCCTGTATAATTTTAAAATTCTTTTCACTGATCATGCTGATTAATTTTTTGTCCTCTTCATATGCACAATTTCAGTGTTAAGCATACCCACATGTGATTCTAAATGGCCAAACAGATTCTGCCAGTGACGGAAAGGATTTCTTTGCTGGTAGACAGCAGCTTTTGCTTCATGTACTTTCAACTTCAGGCACCCTGTTATTTTTGCTAATGCTATGGAGTGTAACACAGATTGTGGAATTTGGCTTGAAAACGGTCTCATTCACACAAACTAGTGGGTTTGGGGAAGTTTCATTAATGGGATCTGCGTTCTGTTCTACACTAGCTTCCTCTTTCTGGTTCTCCCAAGGGAAATAACCACTCCAAAAATAACTCACAGTATATTTGAGTTGTGAAAGCTTAGAATCAGAAAAATAAAGTCTATGTAAGACTGACATCACCTTATGTCAGTCTTGTATTGTCTAAAAATTTTCAATCTTGTTTCCCAAAAGTGACAGTCTTCGTTTTCTCAGGGAATATATTGCATCGTTTCTAAACTGCAAGTGATATATAACAGCATAGTGATAGCTCTCAGTGCAGTGCTCCAAGTAGTTTCTTCTTATTTCTCTTTTCTGTATGATTTTCCTACCAAGCAGTGTAAACAAGGCTATGTTCATAATTGAATATTACAGTTATATCTTAAATCCTTTGTTTTCATGCATTCCAGGTTCGACAGAATAGTCCTTCTCCTACTTCATTAGCTTTTGGGGACCACCCTATCACACAACCAAAGCAGTTATCTTTTAAAATTACTCAGGTAACTATTTTTGAGTAGAGCTATCCTGTATCACTTCAGACTGTAGAAAAAAAATGTAGATATGTTTATTTCTTTGTCTTTCAACTACTTCTACACTCTTGAAGGCTTTGAAAAGCTTTGCTTTTTACAAGCTGCCAAAGTGTTTTTCTACGAAGTTCAGCATCTTATCATTTAAATCTCTGGTTAGTTTTGTGTTCTGCACTTGCCCTGCTTCCAATGTTGCAGTTCATGAGTAGTTAGATGACCATGTCGCTGGTAGGCTTTTGCTCAAGATTTTAGCTGTTGTGGGATCTGAGAGGCTGCTCTTTCAGGCAGTATTTGAAGTGACAGCTGCTGTTGTCATACTGCATTTAAAATATGACATTGAAGAAGAAAAATGAGATGGGAATCAAAATTATGAAGATGTAGTTCTGTTGTGACTTTTTAAAGCCAAAAGTGACTTTTTCACCCTGTGCTGTTTCTGACGTGGTCTGTTCTGTCTTTCACAAGTTGGTCAGAACAAGGCTACCTCACCTGTTGACCAAATACAGATAAAGTACTTCGCTGACATTAAATTTTGCCTGGTTTTATATGCTTTGTGCTGAAATCTTTTAACGCTGTTAGTGTTTTTTCCCAATTGTTCACAGTTGTCCTTATGAAGAGGGAAATCAGTTTTGAATAAGAGCATTCCATGTCACTTAAAAACACATGAAAATAAGGTGTGCTGGTCTTGTTGAATGTTTTAAAGTAGTTAATTTCTCTACGTAACAAACATGAGAAAAATAATTCTGTAACTGTTAAAGAAAAGGATAAATATTTCAAAATGTTCTTTTTAGACTGATCTCACAATGCTGAAATTAGCTGCACTAGAAAGTAATAAAAATCAAGACTTGGAAAAGAAAGAAGGTCGTATAGATGACTTACTCAGGGTAAGTGTTAGACATGGGATAAAGATATTTATTCAGAACAACAGTGAGTCTCTGTTTTAAATGTTTGAATAACCCTTGTTTTTAAAAATTAACCTGGAGTTACCTAAATTAAAAGGTGAAATGAGTTTTTCTTTTTTTTTTTCCTGAAAATACAAGAAGTCTAGGAAATGAAATGCAGAAGGGGCTTTTTTTTTTCTGCTTCAGTGCCATGGCTTGTTAATGATTAAGTACGTTTATAGACTTTCTGAAAGTACACAGAAAGCTGATGATGATTTGCACAGTTGATTGATTCCTCAAGTTCATAATATAATTTAATGGAACAGGTGTGGTTTTGTTGTTCTGACTGTGAATAGCAGTTATCAGTGGGACAACCGTCGGCAGTTTCAGAGTGGAGGTGATTGTGACAGAAAGTATTACAGGCAATAAATAACTACTTTTAATAAGAAACTGGAGTTATACTGTGCTCTAAGGCCTGTTTTCAGGAAAAAAAAATCTTAGTACTTCTGCTCCTGAAATAAGTGTTGGAGAGGTGATACATAGAAGTATGAAATATGAAACAAACCTGTATTCACAAGTCATAGTCTGCTTAGTATTATATGTGGACAAGTACTATTAACCTGTGCAGTCATACATTATAACATGTAGGCTGTTTTAGCATGTCTTCACCAGTATGAAATAGACAAACCTACACTTTAAAACAAACAAACACACAAAACACCAAACCACAACAGCATTTAGATTTAAACAGAATAATATTGCTGTGATTTTCAAGGTATTAAGTTAAATGTGTTTGGAACATAGGGAGCTTGTTAAACTTCCTATTCAGATAACTGAACCTTTCCTAATTGTGAATTTTTTGTTTCCTTTTAAATTAAAAATGTTAGGATTTCACATGACTTCAGCAATCAGTTATAAAGCCTCTGGAGCTAAAATTAAACTTTCAGTTTAACACTGGAGGACTGGAGAAGTGACTGGTACAATGATTTAATACATTATTTACGTGCTGTAAATGTAAATGCAATAAAAAGGAAGCAAGGCATCCTACAAATTGGGATAGATCTGTAAAATGAGATTTTTGCCTATATATATATATATGTTTATGCCTTTTCTTACTTTAGTCATGTGAAGGTAGATACCTTTATTTTCTGTGACAGCTGATTAAAAAAATAGTGGCTTGATATGTTTTCTTTGTATTTTGTATATATTTATTAGGCTAACTGTGATCTTAGACGACAAATAGATGAACAACAAAAGCTACTTGAAAAATATAAAGAAAGGTTAAACAAATGTATTTCAATGAGCAAGAAGCTTCTAATTGAAAAGGTAAGTTTACTGCCTTTAAAATCTTTGTTTTAAAAACTGAGAGGGAGCTGTAGAACTCCATTATAATTCCTTCATTTTCACTTCAGCTTTTTCACTTTAGTTTCTGAGACTGAAACTTCATACGCATGGTCTCTGTCTGGCAGTAAGTGTGTTTATAAGCCTGATTAGGCAACATAAAGTGTTGAGCCTTGTTCAGATCGTGGAAAAAGTACCTCTTAATTTAAGGTGTGGGTAGATCCCGTCATGAGTAATTCAGATATAGCAAAAGATAAGAATTTAGGATGTGGCCAATTTTCTGGACAAACTTTATGAATAAGATTACAGTAGATGAAAAAAAATTCAAACATAATCAGTTGTGGGGAGGAGAAGGATAAAATCTCTTTGTGAGACACTTATATGGATGAGAATTTTTGATGTAAAATGATAAAATGGCATGTTACCTCAGAGTTAATGGAAGCAAGGAAATGACGGTGACCATTTACCTTCGTATTACTATGAAAGAAATACTCATATTTAATGCCAATTATATTTAAACTAGCAGCAATTTCTTAAAAGTCAAGGATACATTGTTTCTCTCTTCTTTAAAACAGGATACAAAAAAGTTTAAGGTAAACAGCCAAGTCTGTTCCCTAACACTAGCTTCTAGATGCTGCTGTCAGATGCAAGGGCACAAACTGATCTGTTAGAGGATTAGAGAGTCTTTCCTCACTAACATGTCATAAAGAAATTATTACAGTCCCTTTAAGTTTCAGCATGGGAGGAATGCGGAGAAAAGATGCATCAGATCTGTTCAGCATGATGCTAGGAGAGCACCTTCAGACTGAGAATATCACCTAGGCCATTTTTTGTGAAAGGCCATGTAGGCCTCCTCTTCAGTCTAGAAGTCTGCACAAAGAACCTTAACTGTGTCAACTTGCCACTTTTGTCTGTGTAATTTCGAGACACAGTTATTTCTTAAGAAGCAAGCATTTGTAACAATTAAACAAGTTTCTGTTCCTCAGTAGTGTTCACGATGTTCTTTCATCTTGTGCTGAAGCAGACTAGGCAGACTCATTTAACACGTCCCAAGGATGCTTGTGGTAGTAGTGACTGGTTCTGAGAATGGCATCTGCTTCTGTTACTGCAGGTGAATATGTGATAGCAGTTACGTCTGCCTGCAGTGCCTTCCCATGTAGATTGCTGAGCTCAGTCAGTTCGGTACAAGTAGTAACACCAGGCTAAGTATACTAGGTGCACTCTTTCTGATACCTAAGCAGGCTCATTTAGTGTAGTAGGCATATACAGACATAATCTTAATTATATGCCTGTATGATGCTGATAGAGTATCAGCTTTGGTGTGTTTACAAATAAAATGTTTTGTTAATTATGAAGAACAGTGACCTTTATAGGAAAACTGAGTCAAACTCGAAATTTTCTCGGTACACAAGTCATCATTATTATCAATTCTGACAACTGCAGATGTTTGAGTTCTACAGAAATTAGAATAAATGCAGTAAAGTAATAAAAGATATTTTTATCTACACTCCTTTTGTCCCTCCCTTACCCTTGTGGGAGGAAAAAAACCTGAGTGTTTTACTGACTTTTTGAACACTTCAGTATTCCTAAATATGAATATTTTTTGTTTTCTTAGAGCACACAGGAAAAGCTGGCAAGCAGAGAGAAGAGCATGCAAGACAGATTACGCCTGGGGCATTTTACAACAGTTCGTCATGGTGCTTCATTTACTGAACAGTGGACAGATGGCTTTGCATTTCAAAATCTCGTGAAGTTAGTCAATGCTATGTTCTTAAAATTCTCACTAATTGTTAGTTCCCTCTAGTGGATTTTTTTATTACTAAGGTTCTAGGATTGGGTTTTCATACGTTGTATTTTGCTTTGCCTTTCGGAGATTGAGAGTACAGTACAGAACTCAATCACTGAGACAACACTGAGGCTGGGTGTCTTTGAAAGGCAGTTTGGTTTCTCTTGACATTAACTAGCCTTAGAGAAGCATGAATGTACTAAATGAGCAGCACATAGTTCTTCAGCTCAGCTGGTAGAAAGAGCTATAAAACTAAATCAGTGATTTTTCAAGCAGCTAACGCTGTATCACTGGTGATCACTGGGGCAGATGAGGTCTGTGGAATTCTCATCAGTCACATAGGTGCTGCCTGTACATTCATCGCTGTAGCAGCTTTTCCAGGCATCCAGCTCCTCAGTGCCCTGAAGGAGGAGTGACAAATCTGCAGTCTCAAACAGGGTCTAGTGCAAGTGGGTGGGGGAGAGCAGCCATCTAGAAAAGAGCTGCTGCAACAGGTATTTTGGCAGAGGTGGGGCCAAGGAAAAGGGTTCTGGGAGACCGTCAGACATGGTGGTAAAACACTTATGCAGTGCCTCAAAAAATGTTCTGTGGTAACGAGTGACTCAATCTTGGGAGAGAGATATGTGTGTATATATACATGAAAGTAATTCACCAAGACTTTAGTTTTGAAGGGCTATATTTAGTCTTAGAGTTATGTGATTGCCTAGGGCATTGGTTTTTTCAAGACAATATTAAAACTAATCTATGTGTTTTGTATAAAAGCTGTAATTGTTTGACATACAACCACACTGATGATTTATTTGGGAACAATCAGATCAAAATTAGTATTAGGCTTATAAAAATCATCTTCTCTATTGATTCTGTTACATTTCTTTTGATGGTATAAATGAAGGTCCACCTGCTCAGATACCTTTTTTTGCTTCTTCTAGTCCAGAAATCACGTGTAACACTATCAAAACCAAAGCAAGCCCAAAACAAAAAAAACCAACCCACCACATATTTCACAAGTAAATTGTGCCAAAGCTTTGGCAAAATTTTTTCACCTAATGAAGAACATTGGTGTTCTTTTTCCTAGGAAACATTTTCATGTGTACAGTAAGTTTTCTGAAAATTTCTTAATGCTTTATCAGTTAAAAAGATAGTTCTTGCAAAAAAAAAAAAAAAGGCAAAATGATGAAATTTTAATAAAGCTTTTTTTGGGGTTTACAGGCAACAAGAATGGGTGAATCAACAAAGGGAAGACATTGAAAGGCAAAGAAAGCTCCTGGCCAAGCGAAAGCCTCCAACTACAAATAATTCTCAGGCACCATCTGCCAATTCTGAACCCAAGCAGAGGAAAAATAAAGCTGTGAATGGGGCAGAAAACGATCCCTTTGTTAGACCCAATTTACCACAGCTGTAAGTTTAACATTTCAATCAGTCTTTTACATAAATTCTCAGATATTGTCTGTGTGAGTTCTATTCAAATAACAGCATAAAAAGACACTCAGTATATTCAGCAGCTATATTCTCACTGAGGACTTGCTGATGTTAGGGAAATTTGCATCAATGCCTATGAAGATGTTATACAATTGCCCAATTTATTTTTGGTAAAGTCACCAGAGAAAGGCCCGTTCTGTGTTTATGCAATGTTCCTTCTGTTTTCCTGATCTAGAGTAGTCCTTATTCTGGTTTCCTGCTCTTCTCGTGTCACTGATACCTACTGAACTTTCCTTCATCCACGTTAGTTTAGAAGCTTCTACTTCAGCTAGACATCTTTCTATTTTTCATATAACAGTCTAGCTGGTAAGAAGAGCTTTTTTTCAGCCTTTAGTATTTGAAGACATGTGTCTAAACCAAACAGACCAAAATATTTTTTCCCCTCTAAATGTTAGATTTTGAGAGCAACTGTCAGAAGTTACTGATCCCATTTCACATATTGACAGTGTTGTTGGGTTTTGGGTTTTTTTTGGGGGGGGAGGGTCATTTAAACATAAAAATAGAGAGAGATGGAAGAAATCTCCGTTTTTCAAGTGACACTTTTTCCTGCAGACTGAAAAGGTATAAATCAAGGCACAGACAGACGTGTTCTTGACATTTGAGTATTTTAAGAAGTTTCTGCTTGGAGACTGCCCTTGATCCTAAGAGGCTGCAGCTGATAGTGTATCTGTTCCTAGTCAGGTTAAATAAAAAGTAAATTACTAAAGCTAAAAAGTCTAAGAGATTAATCTGCGTTACTTTGCAAAAGTAGGCTGCATGTGTTGAACATGGTGACCTCTCACTGGTGGAGGTGGTAATTTATAGCATTGGGGGTGAGGGGTAAATAAATTCCTCTGGTTACATCTGCAACTTACTTACGTTTGGACCATCAGTTTGAAGACAAATGCATGTTTTGCATAATGCATCATTCTTAAAGTTCACATTGTGAAATTGTTTGGCCGTGGCAAAAATACCATGAAAACACAGTAGTAAGACTGGCGATGTGAGCAAATTTTGATTAGTGTTACGTGTTTATTTTGGTAGAGAGCTGAAGAATCATCACTCAAATCGATTCCTTAGTAATAGTGCCTACTTTTCTTCTTCTTAGACCATAATTAATACTTCTGAACAGTACAATAAAGATTACAGTCATGTTAAAAATACCTTTTAGTTTGAATGTAATACCTCTTGTAATCGAAAGTAACATTTAAGTAATGGAGAAGACCTGAAAATTACAGAACATTTTAATTTGCCAGCTTTTGGCCATGTCTTCATTCATGTTAAATTTCCATAATCTTATTGTTGCTCTAGGAGGTGTTAAAATATACGTTTGGGAAAAAATACAGATGTTCTAATTATTAAGTAAGACAAGATGAATTCCTGATAATGGACTTCTGGGTACTTCCTGGTGTTATGCAGTTTTAAATAATTTCCAAATGGCTACAAACGTATCAAGTTTTCATTTAATTTGGCTTAACCAGTTACATGTTAAATGGCACATGAAGGTGCTTTCTGGTTATGGAATTGCCAAAAGAACAATCAGAATTTTGAATCTAATACTTACAAATTTTGTTTCAGACCTATGAGGGGGTTGGAGATCACACAGTCATTAAGCCCCATCATGCTCTTAGGACTTTACTTGAAAGAGTTTCTTAAATGTTTATATTTAGGATTCATTATAATTTTGTGTAGTAATATTATGTGTTGACTCCTCTTTGCTTCTCAGCGCAGAATTAAATATGTTTTGTGTATCTTGATAAAACAATTATTAATGGTGCACTTCCATTTTAGAGTAAATTTGTCATCTGCTATATGTGATTCCTTCCTATTACATTGTGCTTATCACTGTTTCTGTGTTACTTCAAAAGTAATGATCTTAATTAGTATAGTCAAATGGAAGAGATTCTGTTTATATGAGGCATGGGGAACTGGAGAGCTGCTTGAGATTAATGAAGTAAACCAGCAGTAAATCAGTACAACATATATGTGAGTGATTAGGCAGATGATCTTTAAACAAACAACTTGCTAGCAACAGTTAGCAACAAGTGTGTCTACCACCGTGTTGTTTGCGTTAGAAAGTGTCTCCAGCTGCAGGTATTGACAAGACAAAATGAACTATAGCTTTGTAAGGAGCAGGATTATTGAAGCCCTTCCTGAAAACAGGTGTTAACTGTTTTGAAACGGATTGGAGGTGTTGCCTGAGGTTTCTTAATACGGACATTGGTTTAGATCAGCTGAATATACTTTGGTCTCACACAAATTTAACAGCAAAATTTGTGCACTGAAGTTACTAGTACGAAAGTGGCCATCTGCCAGCGACCTGCAAGTGAATGGGGGGCTTGGTGTTTAAATAACATGCCACAGGTGCATCTAAACGCCATCCTGCTTTTCCATCATGCTTTCCCTTTCCGTGGCCCAAACAAAAACTAAAAAGTAGTTTCAGTTTTGAGGGATCTCTTTTCTACTGAGCAAGTAATGTTAGTAGTCTTACATGAAAGGAATGAATTGAAATTTATTTGAAGAACAAACATTTTTTTGAAGTAGAGGTTGCCTTCCTTGCCCTGGAAAAATCTGTTCAAAAACTGTATTACAAAAATCTTTGGAGATTTGAGAGATTATAATGCCTAGTCTCCTCTTCTTAGAAGGAGCTCTTATTTCACTAGACAGTTGTTTCTAGGAGCAGAGTTTTATTTAGTTTAGGTGGCGTAGTCAGCTTCAGTCATGTCAGTTGTATTTACTTCCCAGTCACCTCTTCCTGTGCTTCCCAGTTCCTCCATGGAAGTCTGCATGCAATTTGGAATAGGAGAGCAGAGGGAGCTGGCAGAGTTCGTTAATGTAGCTGAACAAATGCATCATTTAGAGGGAGCATTCTGTTCTGTATGGAACAAATAAAAATGTTTTCAGAAACTTTTACAGGCTGAAGTGCCAACAATGTCTGGGCTTTACAGGACAAGTAAAGACAGCTCCTTTCCTGAGGCAGTCTCCTTCTAATGCAGACATGGAAACAATGGACAAAAAGACCTCATGGAAGGCTTTGACTTGGTCAGTGTCTGCCAGTTCTTGTAGAAATTCGAGGAACTAGAGTGAGAATAAGGCTGGACCAAAAAAAGAAGCTTTTGGCTACAGTTTCTGAAGTGCTCCATTAGATGTGCATATGGCTGTTGGGGGCATGGCCGCATTCTGCTATGCCTGTGTTTCTGGGGTGATTTTTCGAGTGGGAAAAGGTGGGAGGAGAGATGGTTGTAAATGTGCCAGGCTTGGTCATCATGACAACCAAGGAGCATGTGACCATTTTAGTTTTCTGTCTTGTCTGTACCCACTAGTAAGAATCTTTTGATCATAGATGATCATAGAACTTGTGAGGAACAAGTTCAAAGAAGATGGGTTGTGTCAACCCATTCATACTGTGTCCAAGCCTTCAAAATTTGGCTATGAAAACACTGTTGAATGACTAGAAGGCCTATTTTTGCTAATTAAAAGAAATGTTTAAATTGGTGGTAATCAAGCCTTTCAGGCCAGGTAAGCTGTCCGCTTTCTTCCAGCGACAAGTAAAGGTGTCACACCATGGCCCTACACATCGTGTACAGAATATGTCCAGTGCTTTTCTGGGAATTTCTGGAGTTCGTTGCATGTGTATGGTAGCCTGTTGGTCCGTAGACCGTAAAAATACAGCTTTTATTGCACAGTGGTGGTGAGCAGAAAAGACCACAGTCAGGACCAGACTGTTACCAGATTAATTCATGCAGCCTACTCTAGGCTGCCCTTCTTCCCCAACACTCCTCAGATTAGCCTCAAGGCCAACTACCCAACTTAAGTTCATTTGGTGGGTGGCAACAGCCTGGTTCTGGCTGATGTCCCTCCCCTGTGCTCCTCAACTTTCTTCCTCCACATCTGATGAAACTTGTGTGTCGTGGGTAATGGAGGAGCAACCCCCTCTGCGGGAAGTGATGGTGTCTCGTGGATGACTTCTGTCATCTGCCCCGAAAAGGCAGCGGGTGGATGCAGGTGGAAAGCAATGGGCTGATGGAACCAGTCTCCCGGCTGCATGTTTTCAGCCTGTGCAAGCAATGTGGTGGCCTATAGCCAGGAAACAGACAGCATGCTCACTGTCTTTGTTTTACTGCTATTTGTCATGTACTATTTTAATATGAATATAAAGAACAGTATATTTATAGATTAAAAAGTAACAAACTCCTACTTCCAAACAGAAAAAGTAAATGTTTCTGAATATGAGGGAGTAAAGTGGTGTTTTCCAGAAGTAAATGAACAGAATCCTAAGTGACTGCATCTGTGTACAGTTCATTTAATATGCCTTCCTACAAAATGTGGTGGTCAGTAATGACAGTTTCAGATTGCTGTGAATAATGCTGTGCCTGTAATAGATTTGTAAGGAAACAGAAAAATGGAAACCAGTTGCTTATTGGGATATAGCATAGAAATAGTGACTTTGAATCTTAATATTTTCAGTATGATCTCTAACTTGTACTCTGTGCTCAGGAGGGCTATTTAAGAAATTCTTGGAAGGCAGTACTTGCAAGGACTGCCTAGGCACTTTGTCATAACTTCGCATAGACAGCTGAGGTTTTATAAAAAGTACCAGATTCCCTGTATTAGGTTAGTTTTTCAGTGGATCTGTGGTTTTAGAGCTCTCGGTGTTCAGTGAACATTCTGGAAGGTCACGTCATAAACCTCATATTTTCAGTGTGTTTTGCTTGTGGTCCAGCTTTGCTAAGCCACCTAAATACTCTTCTTTCTGAGAAGGGCAAACTTTCCTATCTGTTTGTTGAAATGCACAAACCTGTAATTAATAATGCAGGCAAGAAACAGGAAAGAATAATATTCAGCCTCGTACACACTGACATCAGTCCTTTGCTTTTCTGGGTTGAGAACTAAATGCACATTAGAGTAGTTTGCTCTTTGAGTAGAAGTAATGAAAAAATGTCAGGGATGCTGCTGTGAGGTACCTGGCATGGCGTGGCCTGGATGCTGTCTTTGATAGGTCTAGCAGATGCATCAGAGCAGGAACTAGGGCATTGTTTTCTTAGGTTTCTTGCTGCTGTTTGGACCATATGTTTTGGACCATTGCTGGCTTACCTAACTATCGAGACACCCTATTTCACATTTGCTTTAATGCTGCTTCTTTTAAGATACAGCATAAATTGCCTAAACCCAGCAGAGGTTCTGCCAGGAACAGTAAATATTCGTTCGGTCCCAAAATTTGGTACTAAGGGACCTTTTGCCTTTCTTGGAGAGGCAGAATTCTTTCTGCCTTCGGAGTGTTTGGGGATGTCTGTAATCTGTAATACAAGGCTGCTTTTCATTCCTGTATAGAAAAAGATGCAGGGTAAATTTATATGATGCTTTTTAAAAGAAAGGATCCCTTCCTTCTCAAATTCTGATGGGGTGTGGTCATGGGTGCTTTTTGTCGTCTGATCAGAGTGTTTTCTGTACGCTGTAGACCAGAAAGTTGATAAAAAAACTAATGTCTTATGAAGCTATTTTCAAGTTCCTAGAAATTTATCTGCTGTGGTCAAAAGAAGAATCCAGCAATTTTACTAATATTCATGGATAATATCTGGTCAACTCCATCTTCTGTCCTGGCCAAGTCAGAAAAGGGGCAGCAAAATTAAGTATTTATGGAATCAGGAATAGGAAAGGGCTCTATGAAAGCCTCAGAACCACCAGATTTTATCCTGAAGAGATGCACTATTTTATTAACACTACTTTATTGATTTTGAGACCTAACTAATACAGGGTTTAGAATTCTGAAAACTATGGCAAACTTCATTCAGATTTAAAAGGGAGGAAGAAGTCTTAACAGTTTATTAGATTTCTGCTAATTTTATTGAAGTTAGCATTTGCTGTAAGAGAAATCTGAATTGGTGTCACTCACCTCTGGGGAAACTACTGGTGATTCTCTAGACACCCTCGTTCCCTAGACTTGGAATATGAACAGCATGTGTAGCCTTCTGAACACTTTGTGTAACCTCTCTTCCCAGGACAGTTGATGGTTGAACCCGCTAAAATATGGACTTTGTGAAAACATATCATGCTGGTAGTTTTAGCTTTGCATCATGCAAGAAATAGTAGATCTAGGCAAAACAATGTTTAATTTTAATTTGCTTGTAGGGATTTGTGTGAATCCTTTGGAGGAGGCCCTACCTCTTCCTCCTTCCCCATCCCGTTCCCCTTCATCATATGTGTATGGTTTCTTCTCTGGAACTTGACGTCTCTTTCGTTTCTTTTCTTTGGTGTTTTGTCTTCTGTGTCTATTTTGTTCATTTGTCAGATGGATACTGCATGCAGTCAGCCCATGGGTTTCCTAGTTACTAATCCGTATTGAACGGTCTAGATCCTCTTGGTGATAACTGACTTGGTGTCCTAGCAAGTCTACAGAAAGTGAGGGATCACTGAATTAATTGTAGCCAGGAATCTGTTCTCAAAGGAAGATGAAAAGAGAACGAGCAAAAGATTCTCATGCCAATTCAAAACTGAATTTGTGGTCTCATGCAAAATGTAGTGTTAATGAACTTGGAATGTATGGTTTTGCACGATGTTCTTTAAAACACAACTCAAAAATCCAGTGTTACCAGTCTTGTGTAGTTGGTTTCTGGATCTCCAGCCTTTGGTTCATTGTGTTAGTGTTGAGAAACAAGTGGTGGAGTGGCATCAGCTAAAATATTGGGATGGTGGTATGACTCAGGATGCACCCACGTAATGTGACAGGCTGTCTTGAGAGAACAGAAATCGTCTAGTGGGAGAGGCCGCAATACCAGACACAGAGACATTCTTTAAGTATGTTTTGGCCCTGAAATTACGAACCAAGATGTTTAGATGGTTCAAAAATTGAGTCCTAGTACTGTGGTAGTAAGCAATTAACATAAGACACTGTATTTAGTGTAGTATTTAAGTCTGAATGCTATTGTTTGTTTACCATCATAACTACATTTGTTTTGTTTAACTTTTTTTCAGTTTGACTTTAGCAGAGTATCATGAACAGGAAGAAATTTTCAAACTTCGATTAGGACATCTCAAAAAGGTATGTATATTGTCTGTTATTCTAAGGTGGTTTTCTTTGGCCGTGCCCAAAACCATAAAAACTGGTAATGTCAAAGTAAGGAGAGGGCTTGTTGAGAGCTATGTGATTAGAAAATATAATACCAAAAGTGCTGTACAATTTTATGCCTGACTTACCATAAACACTGGGAGTATAGGGAAGTAGTAGTGAGTTCAAGTGTAACACAGTACTAATTCCCTGAATCCTCGTAACAATGCTTAGGCCACCAATACTGCTCTGGTTTCAGAACTGAGGAAGTGGAGTCAATCAAATTTGATATATGGGCTTTTTATGTTAGTTTTGACCTTTAAAAAGGTCCAACTTACAAAGCATTGCATTTCTGAATTAATATAATGTGTTGATGATCTACAGTATCTATTTCAGTTGTTATTAGTTAGCATACTGCCTGTCGTAAGAGAGAATATAATTTTACTACTTTTATAGAAAATAATTTCTGTGTATCCTAAATTATTTTTACAGTCAGATATTTTACTCCAGTTTTTGACTTTTGAAAATAACAGCAGTACTTTTTTTCTTGAAGCCCATCATTCAACTCTATCTGTGTAATGAGATATTAACAAAATATTGCTTATGCAAGCAAAGCTTTTGAGGAATAACCTGTGAAAAAGAATAACAGTTGAAGCAGGCAGAACTATCTCAACAAGTGTGAAAAGAAAGTACTGTTATCTGCTGAGCAGTAGTTCTTGAGATGTTCGGTCAAAACAGGTCATAGCGTTTTTCCCTGTCAAATGTTGTGAGAGTCTGTTTCAGACGTATTCTATTCAAATGTACAAGTCACCTTTTATAAATCCTACTATGATAAACTGAACTGGGCCCCTTGAGAACTGATGCTGTTTTTAATGGATATGACAAGAAAGTACTTGAATGTGTCGTGGAGGATCTGCAAATAAACTTGTTGGCACTAGTGAAGCAGACTGCCCACATAGTTCTTCGTTGTTAATGCTTCAGAAATGGCACTAGCTTCACATGAAATTCTGTTACGAAATTCTGTAGGTTTTTCCCACGCTTTAACTTTCTGAAGTCTAATGGAAATTTCAAGTGACATTAACAGCTTCCTTTATCAGAGTCGTTCGATACCTGAATTTTGTTTCCACCTTGAGCATAAATGCTGAGGTACTCCATGTATGAAGGAACTTCCTTGACTGAATGCCAGATGGGAAACAAATGTTATTTCTTAGCAAATCATGTTTTGATATATCTGAAAATAATAATAAAATAGATATTTGCATTTTAATTCTTATGTGCAGTACAGATTTTATTGTTAACTAAGAAAACCAATTTTATCTTCTTTTTACGTGGCTATATTTCTTCCCTAGTGCTTCTTTGCTGGTTCCGTATTTTTCTTCTTTCCTTCTGCATATGCTGTTTAGCTGTCTGCTCTTCTTCCTTTTCACTCTCCAGATGCTTTCCTGGTGCTCTTATTTTTGGTGCCCTGTACATGCTGCCACCACCAGTTTTCTTTTCCTTCTGCTCCCCAGGAAATTCTTTTCCAGCAAGCAGCTTTGGTCCTGGAGAGAGGCTCTTGTTTTCTCACTTCCTTTTATATAGCAGTGACCTGAGGCAGCTAAGCTGGTTCATTCTTGTTTAAAGGTATTCACAGCCTGAGTGTCCTAAATAACAGCTGGAAACAATGCAACCAGCCAGTTCTCTTTGGACTGACATTGGCCTATGAACTACATTTTGAGAAGCACTGAATTGCATAATATATGAACAAAAAAGCCCAAAAGAGGCATAACGGATGGATATTTTTTGTCAGCCTTTGGGAAGAACATAGACAATTGTGTGTGTATAAGTGTGTGGTATTTGGAGGGCGGGGAGAAGGGCTAGAATTCTTTATAAGACTGTTGTGTTATGAAGAACTGCATATCATTTCATGGTGTTTAACAGAGCACTGCAGGGATAAATTTAAATGTATAAAAAGTAAGAGTTTAACATTGTATAAACAGGAAAAAAAATACAACCCTTGACATTATATGTTAGGAAAAACAAATGGTCCACCCAGATCTGCTAGCAGATCAGTGTTGCTTAGCCCAGCTCTTAAATTAGTAGGAATCTGATTTTTGTTTTCTGAATGTAGGTTTGTTTGTCTCGTGTCTTGTTTTGGGATGAGAGTTTTTTTCCTTAGCTTATGGGGTGGGATTCAGGATATCCACTGAAATCATCTGGTCCAGGCTCCTCAACTCATTGGAAATGTGGTCGTTGAATGTGTGTTTTAGATTATATAAATACAGTTGTTGTTTCAGGATGTGGTTTTATGATATGCCATGTTGGAAATACCAGCTTTTTAGCATTTTCTCTCCCCTCTGCTGACTTGTGCCTCTATCCCCTTGTGCCATGACTTGTTGTCTTGTTGCTTTTACCAGCACCGTGAGGTTGTGCAGTCACAGTATAAATTGGATTGGAGAACTGCTCTAGCTTCTTTCAACACCCATATATATATATTTGTGTGGTTTGTTGGGTGGTGTTTGGTGGTGGTTTGGGGGGGTTTTTTAAGAAAAGATTGATTAGTTTTCCAGTTTGATTCACCACATGGCTGTACAAGAGGCTGTGCCAAAACAACAAGAGATGATGTGGGGCATTGCTTCCACTGGCACTACTACTAAAAAAATTTGTCAGATGCCAGGCCTTCTTTTTTCTTTTCAGTTAGAATAATTACGTAATTATGAGCCTTCTGGTACGCACTAATTTTGTGTCCCCTTTATTCAAACTTTCAAGTTCTAGAGGTACTAACTCTGAAATCAGTGTAACTCTTCCTGCGTTGTCTTTCAATGAGTATACGTTTTTCACTTCAAGTATAGATACGTACATTTCTACAGATTAGGCATCATGAATTCTTTATTCTTAGAGAATCTCAATAAACAGCTATTTCAGTGTTCTCTCATATGTAGCATAAAGATGAGATAATTTTAAGTGCTGAAATTAGTTAGGAAAGGTACTCGTACCTAATGTGCTGCTTTTGAAATTGCACTCAAAATCTTAGGCAATGCACACTCTGCATTTGTCATTTTAATAAAACACAAATGGAAACATGTTTTTTAAATTAGCTTGGTTTTGGTGTCTTGTTTCAACACCTTACCAAGGTTTCTGCTGTAATGACATATTCTTTTATTCCTTTTTTGATTTGCACCTCAGCATCTAAATATTTAAAACATCTTGTCTTAATTTGTCAGTTTGTAGAAAATCTATAACTGCACAAATCTCAGTTTTTGCTTCTTTGTACATCAATTTCAGACCGCTTCCCAGATAATTTCTCTCCTTGGCTGAGGTACAAAACCCAGCTGCCTCTCATTTCAAATAGCATCCCTACAGTGCAGAACAAAACTGTGAACATCCCATTACCTGTGGGCTCACGGAAAGAATGTTCCTCGAAACAGGCTTTTCCCTTATCTTTTTCTGGCTTTAAGAGAACAGCAGTGCTTTCTTCTAG